ACTCTTTTTATTATTTACATATTATTTATTTTGCCTTCCTAACCAGATAGAATATCTAGATGGAGACTTTATAGACAAAATGCACACGATCGATATGCACAGTGAGCTGGTGTTTTCTGCAACTCTCATAACCGGGCTGGGCACGTCCCCGATCCCGCTGGTGAGTGTGTCTCCTGGTGGTTCCGACACCCGGCATCCCACCGCACCCTCAGCTCAGTGGAATTTATCTCTCTGGGTCTTTCTCCGCAACCAGCCCCTGTGTGTCTGGGCATGGCAGGGCGGTGCCTGTAGCTGGGACTATAGGCGTGCGCCACCACACCCAACTAATATTTAAACGTTTTGTAGAAATAGGGTCTTGCTATGTTGCCCAGTCTGGTCTCAAACTCCCGGGCTCAGGCTCTGACCCAGGCCTCCCTTCTCTCTGTCTGCCTCTGTGTGGGTGGATGAGGTGGGGCCACAGAAGGGACTGAAGCAGCAGCTGCATTTTGCAGCGCAAGTTCAGGTTTCCCTCTGAAGGTGTCCTGGGGTCACCCATGGGTGTGTGTCACCCCGTCGTGCCCGCTGGCTCTGTAAGGCACATGCTTGTCCTCCCCTGCCCCCAGGTGATGGTGAGCAACCCGCACTCCCTGGGGCTGCAGGCCTCCATGTCAGAGAAGGGCAACACCCTGGACGGGGCCATCCTGTACCGACTGGTGAGCCGCACCCCCGCCAGACCCCAGCGCGGCGAGATCAAGGGAGGCGGCCTTGACAGCACCTTAGGGGTGGCCCTTGTGGGGACCCTCCTTCCTCTGTCCCTCCCTTGCACATACCAGGGTAAGGTGTGAGGAATTTGGCGGAGGGGACGCAACCCCTGCCCCTACCGCCCAGGGGGGAGACGGGTGGGCAGCCATCACCTACACACGTGACATCATTGAGGTGTCACACAGGCAAGGCTCAGACGCTGTGATGGGGACCCCAGCCCAGGGGACGGCGAGAGAGCTGAGCTAGCTGGGTAAACTGAGGCATCAGCATTGTGGAGGGAGGGGTGGTTGCTCAAAGAAAAAAAAAAAAGATTGAGTCGTGCCAGGGGCTTGGCCAAGCATGGATCTCGGGGATCCGTGGGGACAAGCAGACCCCTCAGGCTCTGCTCAGGCCTCGACTCCAGAGCCCAGGAAGGCAGCGGGCGGTGTCCACAGGACAGGGGTGTGACCAGGTGGGGGCCGGTCACAGCAAACCCTTTTGATCAGCCCTGGTCACAGGACACCTCCATAGGAGGGGAAAATGATGTCCCACCTCACCGTGGGTCCCCGGAGCAGATGCAGAAAGGGAACAGGAGCCCCCACTTCGGGGCCATCCTTTCTGTGAGCTTCCAGAAGCCTTTCACAGGCAGTGGCATTAGAGCGAAGGGGGCCTGGATGGCTTCCGGGCTCCTCCCCGCACCGTCCCCCTCTGACACCCCGTCTCTCCCACCGTCCTGATTTGGCGGATGCCCCAGGGGACGCTGCTGCAGTTGGGGCTTCTGCTCTCGGTCCCACAGGACATTTACTTGAAGCAGCAGCAGCACTGGGGCAGGACGGACCCCAACTTCACGTCCAGGTACGTCGTCGCCAGGACAGAGGCGGGGGCCCCGGGCTGTCCACGGGGGCTCCCTTGGGAGGA